ACAGAGGTGTCCCCCCAGCCCGGAGGGGCCCATGCTGTGCTCAGCTCTCCCTTCCCTTCCAGAAGACGGGGCTTTGAGCGCGCAGACTCCGAGTACACGGACAAGCTGCAGCACTACACCAGCGGCCACAGTACGTACCGGGGGCCCCCCCCGGCGCCGGGGGGCCGCTCGCTGCCCGGTTCGTGCTCCTGCTCCTGCTCACTCGGGGCTTGCGGGGAGGGCTGGGGCCAGGGGTGCACGTGTGTGCGGGCAGGGCAGCTCCACATCCCCCCAGCCCTGATCCCTGCCTTGTTCTCTGCCCTGCACGCTGTCAGTGCCACCCCTGGGCATGTCCTCCAGACCTCTGTGACAACCATTGCCCCCAAAGTGTCACCTTCTTCTGTGCTGCAGCCTCTGCCACCACACCGTGTCTTGCTCCTCCAACTCCTGAGCTTTGCCCATCCCCTGAGCAGCAGTGAGACCCCTGCCCTTCCCTGTCCCTGTCCCTGTCCCTGTCCCTGTCCCTGTCCCTGTCCCTGTCCCTGTCCCTGTCCCTGTCCTTGTACCTGTCCCCATCCTGCACATTGCTGTCCTCCTGCAGAAACCCACACACCTTTGCCAGAACCCGTCCCAGTGCTCCCAGATTCCCAGAGGATGGCAAATATGTCTCTATATAGGTGTATAATACAGTGCCTAACATACCCTTCTCTTGCAGCCTCCCTCTTCCATCATCCCCGTGCAAGGCACTCCCTCCCACGCAGCATTCCTGCTCAGCCTCARTGCACACCCTGCCTCACCCCACTGCATCCTCCTTCCCCCATCCCTGGCAGTGTCCCAGGCCRGGTTGGATGGGGTTTGGAGTGCCCTGGGACAGTGGAAAGTGTCCCTGTCCATGGCAGGGGTGGAATGAGATAAGGTCATTTAAGATTCCTTTCAACCCAAAGCATTCCATGATTCTGTGATCAACCCCTGCATGTGTCTGAAGTTATTTCTCCCCCCTGACTAGAGACCTGTCGCTCTAATCTTGCTTTATTCCAATCTCAGTTGTGATTTTCCTCGTGTTCTGTTTGCAGCTTCCATATTTCTGCCCTTTTAGTACCTTGTTCCTGTACAAATCCAGGCCTTGCTCAGAGCATGGAAAACACCATTACTGTTTCCACTCAGGACTCGCTGTTGCTCTTGTTTTTACCTGGGAAACAYGTCCCAAAAGGCAGAGCTGCAGCCCTGTGCCCCAGCAGCCTGTGCTGGCTGCCTCRCTATCACTTACCAGCAAAAATGACACTTTTCAGGAGGCATTATGTAAATGCAGCTCTCAGTTGTTTGTCAGTCTGGGCTGCAAACACACATTCACACCTTCTCCTGGGGCCTGGTGTGGGACATGACAGCTCCTCCAGGCTGGGATGRGTTTAATTGGTGCCTGCACTGCTTGGA